ACCTAACGCCGCCTCGCCGCACCTGCAGCTCCCGCGACACGGCCAGGTACTGCTGCAGCGTCGCGTCCCGCGCGACCGCCGTTATGGTGGCGCCCACGAGCGTCAGGTACGTCTGAAAGATGGCGCCCTGCAGAGACGGGCGGGGCCGGGCCACGAGCGTGCGGGGCCGGGGTTGGCGGGCGGGCAGGGGAACCACTAGGCGCCCGCAGGAGGCGGATGCAACTGGTCGGGCGCGGCCGGTGCGGGGTGCATCGTCAGCTGGCGCCGGCCGCACCTTGAGCTCCTGCTCCGCCGGCTGGGCGAACCCCATGTTTAGCATGCCCAGCAGCTGCTCCTTGGGGCCGCCGCGGATGCACACGCCGTACAGCGCCTTGAGCCCGGCCTTGACCAGCGGTTGCCAGTCGGCCGGCGGCTGCGCCGCGCCGCCAGCACCCGCGCCCGCGCCCGCGCCGGCCGCCGCGTCGGGGGCGACATACGAAATGAGGGACGCGCCGTGCGCGCCGGCGCCGCTGGCCGACTCGCTGGCGGTGGACGCTTCGCCCGCGGCCCTCAGCGCGTCCTCCAGGCAGCCGCCCGAGCCGGCAACTGGGCATGCGACGACGGGCTGGGAGACGGCCTGCGTGCAGCTGCCCACGGCGCCGAGCGTCATGTAGAAAGCCTGGTCGCTGGACAGCACCGTCAAGCTGCTCCCACGGGCCAGAGGAGGGGGTGGCGGGGTGGGGTCGGTGCCCGTGTCAGGCGCAGCGGCGGGTTTTGAGCGAGGAGCGGGGCCCGAGCAAGTCAGTGGGCGGCGCTGCTGGCGCTCGGGGCGCGCGATGCGCGCATGCGCGCGCGTCCGCACGCCAGGCGCACCTCGCGTATGACGCCTTGCAGTCCGCCGCGATGAGGAACAGCGCCTTGCGGAGCGCGTGTACAGGCGCCTCGCGCTCCCCGCTGCCCTCCGTGAACCGCCCGATGAGCTCGCTCACCTACGCAGGGGAAATTGCCCCCCCTCATACATGGGTGACCCTCACGCGCGAAGGCAGAGGTCGTGCGGCGGCGTGCTACAAGGGTCAAGTCGCAAAGCATGACGGCCAGCCACGCGCCAGCAGCGCAGCGTCAAAACCGCCCAACACAAGCTGCCGCAGGTCGAAGTAATAACTGGCACCCTCTGTCACCTTCAGCAACGTATGTTGAACAGCATTGAGCTCTGAGGGGTTGAGGCGAGCCCAACTCTGGCCCCAGCCCCCCTGGTCGTCCGCAGTCGGTGATGGCTCCGCCTTAGAGCCGTTATAATGGCCTTTTTCATCCGCAACATGCTCGTGCACGGCTGGCGGGGGCACCTGGGCTTTCACAGGCTGCCCCACCGCCTGGGCGTCGCCCCCAAAGCAGCAGAGAAACCAGCCCATACAATATTGTCCTTTATATTGATCCACTCATCGTGCTGATTGGGCGATCATGAGGGGTGGCGGAGTCCCTGAACGGAGCGGGATAAAACGTGTCGCCTGTGAGGTGTCGCGCATGTTGGAAAGTCAATGACAAGAGAAGTGGCGTCCGCAGGGTAGGAAACCCGACATTTTCGGAGGAGGCCACACCAATTTTCGGAGCCCATAAACGACCAGATAGGCGTGACAGGGAGGCCGAGAAGCCTTTTAAGCAGCTAATTATTCATGGATCACGAGCTCTTGGCCAAAGCAGCCGCCCGAAGAGGCGCTGCTCCTCTGCGTCGCATGCCATGGCCGCAGTGACGGACTGACAACACTGCCCTTGCATGCGGCTGGAAGGCCCGCGGCGTGTGGCATGCATGTGCGCGGCTTGAGGACAAGACAACTCATGAATGGGAGCGGATGCAGGCAGGGATACCCCACACGCCCCGAGCTAGAGTATTTGCGGCTGCACCCCCTTGCCGCTGGTGAGGCGGTGACGGCCGGCTACGACTCAAGACAATTAAGGTATACTTTCATAAGAAAACGCGATTGAGTAATTTGAACGCACACCTCGACGACCTTCCGATCAATTCTGCTCCCACTGGGAGCAGCGATTGATGTAAATGAGCTCTGGGTGACGACTGGGTGTGCGTGCATGTGGGGCCGAGGCCTTTCCGAGGTTGAGTGACTTATTGGCGCCGCCCAGCAGTCCTGAGCTCACTATGGCTCATCCTTCACGCGTTGCTGCATGCACAAGCGCACGCACGGCTGGCAGCGCGTCGCCCATCAAACCACACACCCGGCTCGCCCTCACCCTCGCCCTGTCGGAGACGCACTTCGGGAGCCGGCGAGCCGGCATTCCAGGCTCCAAGCTCGTGTCGCCATCCAAAAAAACTGCAGCCTGCTGCATGGAGTGGCATCGCGCCCCTCACCGTGGCTTTGCCGCCGGTGGACACAGCGCCCTACCCTCTAATGTGGTTCACAATGTGCACGTGCTGCCCACCTGCAGGATACTTGCAATTGCATCACTACTCAACCTTGTGCGTGAACACAGGCTATCTCCCGGGGTGCGTGCTCAACACCCCGCGCTCGCTGACAAGTCCAAACAAGACAATTTGTGGTATCAGCGGCTGCCATGTTACATTCGGACCTTGCTTGCCAAAGGCTCAAAGCTGGCCGCAGCTCTGGGTGCAGGTTGTCTCAGCGGCACCCTGGAGTGCAGGCCCTGCTCAGAATTTGCAACGTCATTGTAAGCGCGACAGCAAGCAAGCATATATCACAACACATGCGCACACACACATGCGCGCACGCACGAGCACGAGCCAACTTGCCAACATGCGAGAAGCATGATCACGCACATTGGTCTTGCCCGATGACGTGTATGCAGTCCTGCGATGGCGCCACCAGCTCGACCCTTCCTGGAGCGTGCCACGCACCAATGGCAGGATCTGACCCTGCTGCATGCAGCCTTCCTTGGCGACGCATTCGCCCTATCTGCCTATAAACCGTTCTAATCTCTTGCATGGGGGCAATGCAGGAGCTGAGCGGGCTTTGGGAGGATATTTGGATGCATGCATCACCTACGTGGGGGCTGCAGGTGGGCACCTGCCCGACGTGCCCGGGTGCCCTGGCTCGACGGTGCTGGCGCCCACTTTTAGGTTGGTCCACCCCCCCCTGCTACCTAACCTCCAGCAGTAAAGCGAGAGTGTCGAGTCCAGAGGCAGTCTGCGGCGGCTCAGAGGCGTGGTGCTCGTACTTGCGGCGTGCGCAGCTGCCACAAACGAACATGCCCACCACCCACGTCCGTTGCCAGCGTCACTCAGTAGTGCACGCCTTCCTGTTACTCTCTTCATGTTTCACCCGTGCTGCCTCCTATCTTCGGCTCCAAGCTGTTCACCCGTCGAGATCGACCAGCTTCAAGATCGAGCCTTCCGCTCGAGGCGGCCGGTGTGAAGAGTGAGACCGCAATAAAACACGAGTTTCAAGAGGTCACTATCTTTTTGAAGGCAACAACGGAGGTGTTAGACGGGTGAGCCCCAGGTTGCGCTGAGGTGAGCATGCGGCCCGCTTCGGCGTGTACGAAGGCTCAGGGCGCAAGCACCGACGCGAGAAAATGGCCACCAGCAAGCGGGGCTGCCATGGGGCTATGCAGCCACTCTTGCGGGAGAGTGGTGCTCGCTGCCACCATGGCAAGGGAGTGCCCCTTCCACCTTCGACGCCACGTCGAGGCAGACTGTGCCGTAAACCATATTGTTCCACGCGGTGTAACCGGATGCTGCCAGGCGCGGCCCGCGCCTCGCCCTAGCGCGTGAGCCACCCCACCCTACCCTGGGCCTGAGCATGTTGCTGCTCGCCCCACGCCGCACCTGCACCCCCTCCCGCAGGTGTAACTCCTGTGCCTGGTGTGCACATGCGTTGCTAACCTTGCTCGCGGGCCTGGGCAAGCCCTCAAGCCGCGCGCGGGGATGAGTGTTTCTGTCGCGGCAATGGACGGCTTGCTGCTGCCGGGCGCAAGCGGCGAGTGGCAGGGGCCCATGGGTGGCAGCACGCCGCCGTCGACTGTGGATGCGATTTCGGGCAACCCGGAACCTGATGGCCATGGGCGCGTCGGGCAGGCGTTGCTGCGGAGCGCGTCCGAGCACGGGCCTGCCGGCGGTGCAAGTAGTGGAGGTGCACGCGGCGAGCAGGAGCGGCTTCAGGACAGCAGTGGGGCTCTCGAGCAGGACAGCAGTGGGGTTCTTGAGCAGCATGTTGAGGAGCGGGCGCAGGAGGAGCAGCTGCAGGGGCCGCAAAGGATGGAGCCGCGGGAGCACCCGCAGGAGCAGCCGCAGGTGCAGCAGCAGGAGGAGCAGCAGGAGGAGCAGCAGGAGGAGCAGCTCGACGAGCAGCATGAGCAGCCGCAGCCGCAAGTGCTGAAGTTTGTCCATCCAGATGAGCAGAAGCAGCAGCACTTGCTTGCTGGTCATGAGGAACAGCAGCAGCAGCAACAACAGCATGTTGAACAAGCGCCACCGCAGCAGCAGCAGCAGCACCAGCAGCCGCTTGAGGAGGGGGCCAGCTCGCTGCAGCTGCAAGATCAAGGGCAGCACCAGGATTGTGAGATGCCCGACCAGCACGCTCAGCACGGCGAGCAGCAGCAGGCGGAGGAGCAGGAGGAGGAGGGGGCGGCCGAGCAGCAGTCTGAAGAGCCTGCGAGTGGATCCCTGGGCCTCGAAGGCTCCGCGGCCGCCAGCACTCCGCAGCAGGCGCCGACTGAGCCCGCGCCCGAGGGCCCTGCTGCCGCGAGCGCTGCCGCCGGCCCCGCCGCAGCCCCGGCTGCTGCCAACGAGCCCCAGGGCGGGCGGCGGTGGCCCTCGCGCGTCCGGCAGCCGCCCAAGAGTCGCCGCAAGCGTGACAGGGGGGGTCGCGGCAGCGGCAGCGATGACTCATACCACGGCTCCTCGGACGACTCAGAATCCCACTCCGAGGACAGCGAGACTCGGCGGGCAAAGAAAAAGGTGCGCGCTCTGCACCACTGTGGCCTCTGGGCGGCGGCTAGGCCTGGCCGTCCCTGGTCAACGGCGCCCAGACATGTGGGAGGGCGCTCGCCTGGCCGCACCCTGCTGGCAGGCGTGCTTGCGTCGGGCGCTGGCAGGCGGCCCGTGCGCCGCTCATGTGTGGTGCGTCGTGCCACTCGCATTTGCATTTGACAGGCCTTGTGACTTCGCCCTCTTTTGACTGTTGAATCTCGCACACTCGTATCTCCAGGCGGCACAGCAAGCCAAGGCCAAGGCGCGGAAGGCGGCGGCGCGCAAGAAGGCCCAGCAGACCAAGCAGGCGCAGAAGCAGCAGGCCGCGGCCCAGGGCAAGCCGGCTGCGCAGCAGCGCGGCGGCCCGCCGCCCGTGCCGGCCGTGTCGCCAGCTCAGCAGGTGCAGGTGCAGCAGCAACAGCAGCAGCAACAGCAGCAGCAACAACAGCAGCAGTTTGCACAGCGGCAGCAGCTGATGCCCAACGGGGCGGGTGCCCCTGGCGCAGTCAACATGCCGACGGCAGGCTCTGCGCCGTCCGGCTGGCCCCCGGCCGCTGTTGCGGCGCCCGCGCTCGCGCCGCCTGGCGCCAACGCCGGCTGGGCGCCGTTCGGAGCCGCAGGCGGCGGCGCCGCCGCTGCTGCCACGGCTGGCGACCGCTGGGGGGCGGCGATCCAGACGCCTTTTGGTGGTGATGCGGCCCTCGGCTACGGCGGCGATCGGTGGGGCGCCGCGCCGCAGGCCGGGCGCGCCCCGGTCACCACAGGCAGCAGCATCGGCGTGATGGGCGGGCTGGGCGGCGGCGCGGCGGGCGCTGGGGCGTTTGGCCGGTCGGCGTCGCTCGGGGATGAGTCGTCTCTCGGGCTCGGGGGCGGCCTCCTGCGAGGCGGCAGCATTGACGGTTCGGCCGGCCTCGACTGGCGTCTGCAGCAGCACCAGCAGCAGCAAATGCTGATGCTGCAGCAACAGCAGCAGCAGCAGCAGCAGCAGCAACAGCACAACGGCCTTGACCGCGCGGTGACGTGGCCCCGCGCGCTGCCCTCGCCCCAGCTCCAGCCCTCGCCTCAGCTCCAGCCCGCCGGCTCGCTGGCCGCGCGCAGCGGCGGCGCCGGCGGCGGCCCCGGCGGCGGCGCCGCCGGCGACGGGTCGCTGCCGGACGTGGCCCGCATGCCGCCTCACCATTTGGTATCTATGCTGGAGCGCATAAGCATGCGCCTCCGCGCGCACCTGCAGGCGTGCAGCGCGGCCGGGCTCACACAGCAGGAGGCGCTGAGCGCGCCGGTGACGTCCGGCGGGTCCGCCTCGTCGGCGGCGTCGCTCATACGCATGCGCCAGCTGATCAGCGGGGAGCTGGAGAGGCGGCGCGACCCGCTCGCCGCCGCCAACGCGCAGGCGCAGGCGCAGGCGCAGGCGCAGGCCGCCGCGCGGCCGGGCGGGCTGGGGACGGCAGCGGCGGAGGGCGCGGACGTGTGGGGCATGGCCGCCGCGCGCGGGGCTGCAAGCGGCGGCGCGGGCGCGGGTGCGGGTGCCGGTGGGGCCGCGGGCCGCGACGTAGGGGCCGCTGCTGGTGGCTGCGGCGGCGGACCTCCCGCCGCTGCGCCCCTCGGTTCCCTTGCCGGCCAGCAGGCGGCGCGGCAGCAGCCGGCCTGGAGCGGCGCGAACGGGGCCGCTGCCGGCGCCAGCGACGCCGGCCCGGACGCATGGCGCGCGAGAGACGCCGCGCTCAGCCCGGCTGCTGGGCTGCCACCTGCGCGTCCCCAGCAGCGGCAGCAGCAGCAGCGGGCGCACGGTGGCGGCGCGCAGCCAAACCTCGGGGACGACGACGTGTTTGCCGAGGTTGACTCATTCCTCGAAGACTTCATCGACTTCAAGCAGGACCAGCAGGCCAACGGCGGCGCACACGCCGCGGCGGGGAGCGCGGCCGCCGCCGCCGCCGCCGCCGGCGCGGGCGCGGGCGCCGGCTGGCTGCCAGTGCCGAAGCAGCCGCTGGTGGAGGGCGACGCCCCAGTGCAGCCCGCGGGCCCCTCCGCGGCGGGCGGCTCGCCGGCGGTGCGGCCGGAGG